ACTTTCCTCCCGTCCCCATGGGCAGTGTGAGGCAGCAGCTCTCTGCCTGCTAAAGGAGACCTGCATTTGGTTTAGGCTTCAGTTGAGAGGTGGCTTTTCTGCACTCTAACTTTGCTTTACCATTCCTGCACTGACAAGCCAAACTGATTTATGGTCACTGCGGTGGTAATCATACTTGAGGCACGTTTGGAGGTGCCAATACATCTACTGATGCTTAGCATGGTCCGCAGTGCCTGTTGAGGAGATATTTGAGGGCCAGAAGATATCCCTGTGTGATGGAGGTTACTTAAAGCAAAGAAACATATACTTAATTTGCCCTTTGGCAGTCAGGAAAGCAGGCAACAATGCACTGGGTCCTGGTGGTGCAGATATGTATAATGAAGTTGTGCCATATGTTCCCTTCAGATTATAATTTTCCTTGTGATGGCTTAATTTAATATGCTGGGCATAATGTAGAATATCCCTAACATACTGATATTCTTAGCAGATAACTCTAGCAGACTAAAAGATTGTAAAACTGTCCATGAAAGTAGTCGACGTCTGTCTTCACTCAGCTAAAATAGCCATATAAATTTCAATGAACATTCTGTTTCTTCGTGAGGAACATGAAAAAAGGCCACTTATTTATATTTAACCTAATAACCATCCTTCCTGCCACTAAGAGAACTGAACTTGAAACTGTTTCAAAATGTTCCTCAATTTCTCTGATCCATCTTTATTTAAATAATAATAAAAAACTTAATACTTACTCGAAAGCATATATTTAAAATCCTGTCTGCTTAAGGGATTACACTAAAATGTCACTTCTAAAAAAAGACATGTCTAATTTCACCATTGTCTCTCTGAAAGGTTAAGTATGTAGAGTAGAATTAATGCTTATGTTGATGTACAGATTATCTGTCTTGTCATTCAGCTTGGTATTTTTCACAGACTATTTCAAACTCTAGAATGACAGATAAATTGCAGTTGCAATCGATTTCTGAATTTGCTATCAAGAAAAAGGAAATAGAGGGTTAAACCACCTCAGAAGCTATCTAACTCTCATTTCAAAACATTTTAAAGGTTGGGTTTTTATTTTAACAGACATAATTTTGTATTTTGGGGAGGGAGAAATCTCTACAGTAATTTCTTAACATGTAAGTCTTGAAAAGTAATGGCTTTTTTTCTTTTTTTCTACAGAAAGAGCATAATGCCCTCTCAAACTCCAGACAGGACTTTCACATGCCTCGTATTTATGCAGAAAAGTGTCTCCCTGACTTAATGCTTGAATGACAGAATTTGCATTTTCCCCCTCAGGAAATACTGTGTTAGTGTTCAGGACAAGAGCCTTGGCACTGCACACCGTGTTGCATAGGCAAAGACAGTCCCCAGCCTCTGGGGTTTGGGTGGGAGGATCTGCTACTCAAAACGTGTTCTGAACTCATTCCTGAAGACCAGACTTAGGTAACTAAAGTATTGCATCAAGTTCTTCCAGCTCCACGTGCCTCACTCAAATTTATATACGAAGTAAATTTCCAACATTCATAGCTCATTTTTTCCTGCTTTTCATATTTCTAGATTTTGTTGATGACAGCTTTTTTTCTGTATTTAGCCAAAAGTTCAGCACACAAAGACAACAGGATCCCAACACCTTCTTTTCCCTGGTAGCCCCATATGACCTCATTTCAGTGACTGGGAGCAGTCAGCGTGCATTTATGAAGACCAAACTGTACCTGATGCATCCAGTGGCCTTCCATGACAAAATGTCTGGATTTGTGATTGAGGGAAGAGCAGAGGTTGCTGCTTGCATGGATTTTAGCAAGGCTTTGCACAGGCTCCCATAGGTTTTTTTGTACCCAGGTTGGGACATTATGGTCTGGATGAGTACCTAGATGAGTAAAAGCGTGGTGGGATGACAAGGCTCAAAGGGTCATGTCTCCTGGTCAGACCTTACCTGGATTGCTGTGGTGAGTGGGGTATCACAGGTCTATCCTGGAACCTCTCCTGTTCAATGGCTTTATAAGTGACCTGGGGACATGACAACCCAATAACAACCACCCAGTACCTTTGGGGAGGTGACAGAAGATGGAGAGGAGCTCTTTTTAGTGATTCTCGGTGGGAGGATGAGAGACAGTGGTCTGTGACCATAAGATTTATTTCTATATAGCTCCTGCATATGTACAGAATACAGGAATTTGGGAGATGTCTAATCACCCTAAGAGTGAGATTTTGAAGTAAATTTCCCAATGTAGTTGTCAGAGGAAAACTGCTTAAATAGTTTTAAAATACAGCTTCATCAATTTATGAACAGGACTATGTGATACAATCGTCAGCAATGGCAAGGACAGAATTCAGTGACCTAGGAGCTTGCGCAAGCTTACAGCTTGTTTTGACAAATGCAAGGTCAAGCTCCTCATCTTCAAGAATAAATAAATGGAAAATTAAACATAGTAAATATTGTAAATATTTCATTGACACTTCATACTGTGAAATTGAAAGCAATCTTTTGCCGAGTTCAAAGTTATTAGAGTTTTTAGCTGTGAAGCTTGATAACCATGATAATAAATGTAATTTATACACTAGTGCAAAATGGATATCAGAACCAAAATGCACAAATATGGACAAACCTAATTAATCTGAGATTGGTTTATTCATATCACAGCAGCTGAAGGCTATATGATAAACAGCTACAGAGCTGGTGCAGCATGTATCATTGGCTGGATTACTAAAAATTGACATTTTATTCCATTCCAAATTAAAAAAAGGAGATTGTATACAAATTCAGAGAAAGTCAGTCATGCTATAATTGTGTTGCATCATAACAAAAACCTTATTTTTTTCATTAAATAATTGCATAGTTGCAGTTTGTCATGATAAATCAAGCCCGAACCTGAGCACAGAGATCTAAAAACAGACAAAAAGTTCTCCATGATGCATGGTCCAGGATATAATCTAGAAAGGATCGAATTTAGAATAACAACCCTTACATTTTTTAGCCAAGTCACTGAAACTCTGTATAGCAAACTGCAATTTCAGTGGAAAGAAAGGTGTGTTTCTGCAGCAGCATACTGTAAAAAGGCAGCATTTTTCTATTGCGCTACCTGCCAAAGCTCTTATTGAAGCCAGGGGAACCACAGACATGATTGTGCTTATATCTCCTTCAGTTTTAATAAAGCAGCAATCCACAACCCTAACAGGCACATTCATACTTACTGTAAGGGTACCAGGAATGACCTCAGGACTGGGTATGGTCCTGAGTGCTCACAAGAAGGGACGAGTCCTGAAACCTGGAAGCAGGAGGTAAGAGCTCCATGTCCCGCTGCTGCTGGTTAGCTGTAAGCTGACATTGCTATTTCCACGTACCTCCAAAAAGCTGCCCAGCATGATATACAAAGCAACAGCACAATTTCGGAGTTGCAACAGCTACAAGTGTTATTAACCAGCAGAACCACAACCAGAATATAGATGGTAACTTAGAAACACATGACAGAAGTATTGTATTGGGAAAACAAGAGCAGAAAAAAAATTTGAATGGGAATAACATCAGTTAATGTCATGATTGAAAACCCCTTACAAGTTCCCATGCTCTAAGTTCACGTTGTTTTTCATAAAGAAAAGAAAACATTGGTTTTGAGTTTTGTATATACAGTGCCAGTGTCTTGCATAGGAAAAACAGCCTGGTAGGTGTTTGATCAGTGTAGATGCTATTAAGAAAGTAAGGGCTCATTTCAGTCACCTAAACAGGGATCTGCAGTGCTATGTGAGATGCTGAGTCTGCAGCAGATAGGACAAAATGGGGATGGTCTCCCTGAAGTCCTGCAGGACACTTGACAGCATCAGGCACAAATGCGGGATGTGCTAGAATGCCTCCAGTGGCAATACATGTCTATCCACAGGCAATGTAACCGAACCCTAAATGTATGTGTCTTACAGGGAAAAAGGATACAGCATGGTTATGGAAGTCATTATTATTTCCAGGATTTTTCCAGTGGGAATCTGGGAAGGAATTTTTGCATCTATTGATATGACCTCACATTGCAAGTATTGATCAAGGAAAAATTTATTTACAGAGATTTTTCAAATACAAACATAAAATAGCACATATTATATTTTTTTTTTACAAAAATGAATATTGAAATAATAAACATGGTACAGCACAATACGACATCAGTGAGCTAAACATAACAGCAACAGAAATCTATGTCTGGAAGAAGTTTCCTGTTAGTCGTACATAACCAACAGAGCTCTACAGTACTGTAAGTGGAATTTCCAATGGACAGAAAAACGTCCATTTACTGCACTTCATAAAAGTACTATAGGGAAAGGCTACATATGCCAAGTAATTATGTTGCATTTCTGTAATAATGCTGAAAACACAGAGGCTTAATAAAAGTTATACAGGGCTGAATAAGCAGTGACTAAATGTTTGGGGAAGAAAAATGTGTAAAGAATATACAAAATACTGATAAAGTGGCTTATTGGTCCTTTTATTAAGTTTAATGTATAGATTAAAAAGTGTTGCAACACTGAACTTTAAACCACCAGAGAGAAGTAAAAAAAAACAAAACCAAAAAAAAAACCAAAGTAAAAGAAAGAAGGGTTGCACCAAAAAAAGTTCCCTCTGTACTCATTTTGTGCCATGGTCAACATCTGTGCGTGCATGTGTGCTTTTGGGAGCGCCATGCCGAGGGGCCGGCAGGTGCTACCCCAGGCCTCTGGCACTGCCATTCCCTCATCAACCTCTCAACTAATTGGTGCACGCAGAATTTCACCATTTGTCAAAGCAGAGTTTTCATTGTTTATAATTTTGTGGAGCAGATCACAGGCAGTCTCAGGGGAGAAAGCCCATCCCTGTCCACCCTGGCTGGGGGACTTTGTGACACCATTCACCTCCCTGGCCTCCTTTGGGCCATGCCTGCTCCAGAGAGAAAGCACTTAAAAACTTCTTGTTTGTAGTCGTTATCCAGAAGACATCGGCATGGCCTTCGGGCGCCCGGCAGCGCCTGCGCCCCAGGGCCAGCTCAGTAGGGGTAGTGTTTCTGCTTCTTGCCTGAGAAGCAGGCCAGCCAGGTGCACACCAGCATGGCTGCCGCTGCGCCCCCGCCCGTGCAGTAGTAGGCCCAGCCGATGTGGCAGGTCCCTGCAAGGGAAACAGAGTGAGACAACACAGAGTTAGCCAGGGGAGGAAGCACTGTCACCATCCTCCTTTCTGCCCACACAGGAAAAAGCCCTTTTCTAGGATTTTGCCTACTTGTACGTCCACCTCAGACAGGAAACGTGGGGTAAGCAATTAAAGAAGCCAAGCTGTTTTAATTTTTTATAATGGCTCAGCAGACAGGCTTCCAAGCTCACTTGCTTGGCTGGTTGCTGTTTTCCACACAAGGTGAAATGTCACGTGGGAGCCGAAGCAGAGGCTTCTGGCACCTCGAGTGTTCTTCCCACTGTTCTCTTTCTTCTCCTTCTCCAGGTAACATCTGAGGATATTTTGTTTATTTTTGACAGAGATTTTGAGGGTTTGCATGTAACATGGGCCAGGGTCAGCTCCCTTCAGAAAGAGCTGGGTGGGTCCACCTCTACCATCTCAGTGATCTACAGGGCTCAAAACTGGACCTGGCTGCAAGCTGCTGGGTGAATATAACCCAGGGCTTGGCTGGAGGGAACCTGTTCATGTTCCCCTCTCACAGGCATCAGTCTTGACCAGGAGGCTCCAGGTGGCAAAGGGGCTCACCTACATGGGGACTGCTGTGGGAACGGAATCCACAAATACAACAGAGAAATTTATCCCTATGTGAAGCCACAACTCATTGCTTAAAACTTCACTAATCTTTTGTCTAGTGTGTTTACTAGTGTCACAATATGGCCTTGAATACATTTAGTGGCCACAGTTTCTTTACGCGGCCAAACTTATCACCAGCAAATGGTGATGGGGAATCCCATGGTGAACCAAAAAGTGACTGCTCCCCTTCCAATCAGAGATTAGGAAAACAGCAGCTGTAGCAGGGAGGAGGCCTCCTCACAGAGATCCTTGAAAGCAAGGAGATGGCTCCTCAGGATGTCAGCCCATCTTAAAAGTAGTCTCCACTTGGGTTGCATCATCTTGGTCATTTAGATCTTGTGTGCTTGGAACTCATTACAACTGAGGTTCACCCTGCATTGCCATCTTGGGTGATATTGCCCTGCTTTGAGCAGTGAGTGCTCTCAGTAAGGCACCAGCAGCAATAAAACACTCCCTTCCTACCCTCTGGAAAAAAACAGCAGAAACCATTCACCCCTTCAGAGAACAGAAGGTAACAACAGAGTTCCCATCTTGAAAGACAGAGCTGAAACAGGTGGCATGTCCATATTCTGTTCCAATGGCATCCTTGAGGGCCAGGCTTCCGGTTCAGACGATTACCAACTCAGCTAATCTTGCCTTAGGCACAAGACACACAAGATGTCTGTACATCTCAACGTGTCCAAAGGATTAGCACGCCTCAGGGCAGACAGCACGTCCGTCAGCTGTCTGCAGGATATTGTCAGGCCAGCTTTGGAAGGAGACATTAGTGAGAGGAAACACTCATGCTCTTGGCCACTTTGAAGATCTCAGGTTGATACCATAGCAGGAAGCACAGTATTTGTTTCATTTTTTCTTCATAACACTCAAAACCTTTTATTGAAAAAAATGTCCAGTGAAACAAAGTTCCTGACATGATGAGAGTACTTGAGGAGTTGTGGCCTTGCCTTGAGGTCATTAGCCTCTCTCCTTAATGTGCTGGAGCAGACAGAGAGATTCACTTGGTTTTGTAATCTGGTTATGCTCCGCGGATCAACAGCATTCTTGGCTTCCTTACAGAAGACCACACAGAGTCTGACTTCCTGAAGAGAAGACCATCAGGAACCATGGAGAGGTGCCAAGCACCTGGCAATGTCACTGATGCTGATCCTTGCCCAATTGCACAGCAGTCTCTGGAGAGACCTGTCTCTGGACCATCTATTACTTTTCCTGTATATGCACACTGTCTATAGCTTCTGCAGGGAATCTCAAAAGCTGGCTTAAGCATACACCAAAGTCTAAATCCATTGGATTGCTTTGAAAATGTTCATGTTTATACTAGGGTGGGTGTGCTAAAGCATTTCTTTTGATAAGATGGACTTTGTCTGATAGGTCTTTTTAAATTGCTAAGTAAGAATTGTAGTTGCAGCTTGAAAAAGTAAATCTTTCTCATCATGATGCTTCCAGGTAGAGAAAACAAATGTCAAAATGCTCTTTTAAAAAGAGATTAAAGATTCACCTGGTAATATTGCCTAAAGCTGTGACCTAAGTGGAATAGAATGAAGTAAATTTGAACTTTTGTATGGTGTGATTTCAACTTTTGTGCCTTGGCAATGGGAGAGGGGCAAAGTGTACCTGATACATATTAAGGAGAAAGAACTGTTAAATCAGTGCCAGAGATGTGCTCAACAGACACAATGCACACATTCAGTCTTGGCTATAAAGAATAATGTTTATTTCTCCATAACATGCTCCATTTACCCTAAGGACCACTGCCCTACTTAACGCTCTGAGGCATAGCAGGCAGCCTCTTGATCTAACAAATGCAATGTAGCTCACAAGCGCAAGTTGGGTCAAGATGAACAAATGAAAGAATGAGAGAGTGCAGGAGAAGGGATGAAAGAGCCAGGAGCCTGACCTTGGAGCAATAATAACACAGCAATAAACCTGGCCATTATTTCCAGTCTGTGTCAGGAGCAATGGGAGGCCTCGGATAGAACAGCTTGATCTGTGCTTGGATGATGCCGAGCCGAACAGCATTTCAAGCTATTGTGCTGAGGAAGAGCCTGCAGCGGGGAAGGTGTCTGAGGGTATAGGACTTAGCTATACTTTTTACTGTAAGTATAGGTAAGTCCTAGGTCCATAGCTAAGTATAGCTGTAAGATCAGAGATAATCCATCTCAAAGGTACCTGCTGCAATAAATGATTGCCTACACTGCACAGCCACATGTCAAAATGAAACAATGTCGTCTGGCCACTATGCTACGCCTTTTTACAATCCCATATTGCACAAGGAAAAAAATATTTTGGAGTTAATGTTTCTGTCCTGGTGTTCTCATTTTACTACATGTATTAGCTATTTTCATTCACTGCACCCTAAAGAAAGAATACTGTTTTTCAATAACTGGGTAATTTAGTTGCAGTTTAAATTGTAAAATGAATCCTGCTTCGCTTTGATATTATACACTCATTTTAAAAGGAATAGGAAGCTTTATAAAAAGCAGGGTTGATAGATAATTAAATGTAACACCAAATGAAAATAAATAGACCTATAGAAATGTTATCTTTTAGAGAAGATAGATTTTGCTTTCTAGCTTTATATTTTTGTATCATAATAAGGGGTGTCACAGAAGGACTCTTTGTAATGTTCAAATTTTATTGCACTGACATCAATGGGACTAGTCATGTATTCAGAGGCAAGCAAATGGTTAAGAGATTTGCAGAATGAGGGCTTAAATTCAGCCATCAAGTAGAGCCCTTTGACTTCATGGAGCCCATCATATTGAAGACTAGAAATGCTGCATTGCAGTTTCCAATTTCTTTAATGTTAAAAACTCTTAAACAAAGAGCAATAGCACCTAATTACTTGACAGAATTAAAACAATTAGTGAAACCATGTCAATTTTCACACACACAGACACAAAAGCTGTTGTTTTCCTTAAGGATGCATAGGAATACATATATACAGGTAGAAGTGTGCCAGTCCATTGAGGGCATGGAGGTGCATGCAAGAATGTGTAGATGTTCTTGCTCACAAAATGGGCTGGATCTGGTGTTATGCCAAAGCAAATTCCTCAGCAGATCTTCTAGCAGGTAGAGAAGACATGCAGCACAGCAGGTCCCTTCTCTGCACAGAATTGGTGTGGCTTTTAACAAATCTGTGTGGAGGGAGAAGCTGTGACTTCAGTGTTTTGTTAGTTCTGGATCTTTTTGTTGTTGTTGTTTTTGCTAAAGGAGAGCATAAATAACTGCTCTTGCGTTCTGGTTGCTCAGTGAAGCAGGACTGTCAAAGTCAGCTCAGGTAAATTTGTAGCCAGCCATTAAGAACTTTGTTTTCACATTTGTTTTACTGGGATCGGCAGCAAGAGAGTGTCAGGATGAACTCTGAAATCACAAAATAACAGGCTGTAGGGCTGGATGGCCATTTTCCAAGCAAATAAAAGAAGGAAAGA